CTCCCTGGCCCCAGGCAGGCAGGGGTGGGGAGAGGCAGGGAGGAAGCAACTTACCCTCCCTCTTCTCCTGCCTCCTCCTGGCTCCCCCCGGGTCCCCCCCCCCCCGAAATGACCTCTGGTAATGGGCCATCCCAATACCCCATGTTCCCCTGAGGTAGTTGGTGGTGGTGGTGGTGGTGGTGGCGGCGGCTCCTAATTGAAAGCCTGGCGGAAGAGCTCCGTCTTGCAGTAGTAGTAGTAATAGCAGTAATAATGAGATGACAGAATCCAAAGGTACCAAAAAGCACATTGAGCAAGCTACGAGGTAGGGATGCTGGCCTCCAAGTGGGACTTGGCGATCCCCCGGAAGTACACCTCCTCTCCAGACCAGAGAGATCAGTTCTCCTGGAGGAAATGGATGCTCTGAAGGTTGGACTCTACAGCATTGTACCCCACTGAGGTCCCCGTCCTGCCCAGGCTCCCCCCCCCAAAATCGAGGGGTTTCCCAACCTGGAGCTGGCAACCCAACCCCCCTGCCCCCCCCCAGGGGCTGGGAGGACTGGGCAACCCTCCTACCAGCCCTCGCCTGTTCTCGCATCTGTATCTGAAAGCTAGAGACCGACTGGGTGGGAGGTTCAGCGGGGGGGGGGGGGGAGATAATCCCTACCATTTGTGAGGATCAAGGAACAAAGCAGGGAGACTCTTTAATAGGAACCGACCGAGCGAGCCAAGTTTCCAGCTGCCGTCAGCTGCGGAACCGCGGGGCCCACGCGCGCTCCCAGGAAATGGCCAGATGCTACCGGGGGCGGGGAACTCCGTACAACGTATGCTCGAAGGCTGCGGAAAACACTTGTCTCTCCCGTGAGACAGGGACCTTTCTGAGCACACTGCGTCAGCGGCCCTAGGCCTGGGTTTTGAAAACTTCCTGCCTTGGGGGAATCCTCTTGAATAACCAGCCGCAGAGCCCCTTCCCATCTGGCGTGGGAACCCCCCCCCACGAGGCAAAAGAGCCTGGGGGGCCCGCTGTCTTCAAAAAGATCCAGGATTCTCCCTCCCCCAAAGAAAACCTGGATGCACATTTTTAAATTTTTAACAACCTCCTTCTGTTCTCCTCTCTGCTGTACCCGATATTCTCTCTCTCTTTCTCCATTTGTGTTTTATTCCCTTCCAGCCTCCTTTCTTATAAAAAATACAAGCACTTTCACACATGCTAAATAATGCCATTTCAATCCACTTCAGCGACCGTTTTGCAAGTGGATTTTGCCATCTCGCACAGTAAAATCCAGTTGCAAAAAGCAGTGAAAGCAGATTGAAAGTGTGTTATTTAGTGTGTGCAGGGGTCATTTCCTGTGGGAGCGCACAGGAGCAGAGCTCCGGCAAGTAAGGAACCCAGCGGGCGGGCACATGCAACAAGCCCCACCCCCTGCTCCCAGCAGCCCTCAGTCAGGCCACGAGGAGCAAGAAGCAGCCAGGTAAGTTGCAGAGGGCCCCCCCGCCCACCTTCAGGTACAAGCTCTCCCTCCTCTATGAGGACAGATCTGCACATCCCCCATCCCCCCAATAGCTAGCAATCCAAAACAGTCCAGTGGAGCCTGAGCGGTGGGTGTTGCCTTCTGACACACTTCCGGTGATGCCAGAGGGTGTGGCATATGCAAATAAGTTATGCTAATGAGTTATGCTAATGAGCTCCTGCACCTCTTTTTCTACGAAATGACCCCTGAGTGTGTGTGAAAACGTCATTAAATACCAAAGTCCATGTTCGACATCATGCTCTCAGGGTACACGGGACACCAGCCACGTCTCATGCAGCCTCTTGGGAACCAAGAGCCCCCCTCAAACATAGCTATTTATTTTAGGATGGGAAATTCCTGGAGATTTGGGGGTGCAGCCCAGGGCGGGCAGGGTTTGGGGAGGGGAAAGGAGGGATTAGGGTTGCCAGGTGCTTACTGTCTGCTGGTGGGGGGCTCCAGGCTGCTCCCTGGGATCTTCTGGTGCGTGTGTGACGTGATGACATCACCCGGAAGTGACATCATCGCACCGGGCACGTCATGCGAGAGACGCTCTAGCATTTGGCCAAAAACTCTATGGTCACCATAGAGTTTTTAGCCAAGTGCTAGAGCGGCCCCTGCATGTCGTGCCCAGCGTGATGATGTCACCTCCGGGTGACGTCATCGCACCGGGCGTTCCAGGCGCAGCAGGGCTGTTCAGGGGTGGGGCTCCCCTCGTCAGCCAGCTGGCCAGTGGTGGATTGGGCCTCCCCCGAAGTTGGGGGGGGACCCGTTTCCATAGAGGGGATAGCAACCCTAGGAGGGAACTGAGTGCGATATACTCCAGTCGAGCCCACCGTCCAAAGCAGCCATTTTGTCCAGGGACACTGATCACTGTAGTCTAGGAATCAGGTGTAATGCCATGAGATTTCCAGGCCCCACCTGGCGGCTGACAACCCACGGGCTCGGCAGCAGAGGACAAGCGTTTGGGAAGCTGCTGAGTGGAAACTTGTATGCAGATCTGACACCCTCAGGCTGGGGCTCAATAGAGATTGGGAGTGGCTGGCTGAGTGGAGAAGGAGAAGAAGAAGAGATTGGATTTATACCCCGCCCTTCACAACCCAAAGGTGTCTCAGAGCGGCTTACAAACTCCTTTCCCTCCCCCTCCCCACAACAGACACCCTGTGAGGTAGAAGAAGAGATTGGATTTATACCCCGCCCTTCACTACCCAAAGGAGTCTCAGAGCGGCTTACAAACTCCTTTCCCTTCCCCTCCCCACAACAGACGCCCTGTGAGGTAAAAGAAGAAGAAGAGATTGGATGTATACCCCGCCCTTCACTACCCAAAGGTGTCTCAGAGCGGCTTACAAACTCCTTTCCCTTCCACTCCCCACCACAGACACCCTTGTGAGGTAGGTGGGGCTGAGAGAGCTCTTGGCAGAAACCGCCTTTTTCAAGAACAGCTCTTATCAGAGGTACGGCTTGCCCAAGGTCCTCCAGCCAGGTGCAAGTGGAGGAGTGGGGAATCAAACCCGGTTCTCCCAGATTAGAGTCCGCACACTCAACCACACTACGCCAAACTGCCCCTCTTTAAGGCCTCTCTGCCTTGCTCTGCCAGTTTGCCACCAGCTGGGAGTGGTCCACCCCCCCACCCCCCCATGGGATCATTCTGCCTTCTGGCTGCATCCTGTTTTTGTGCGTTCTGTGCATTGCATCCTATATGCTGGACTGTGCTGAGTCCTCCCGCGCTCAGTTCTTTAACACTCTGTCCCTTCTGGCTGTACCATGGCGTTCTCTCTTTTCTATTCCTGACGACTGACTCATGCATTTGATCAAGCGGACAGTAACCCACAAAAGCTTCTGCCACGCTTAAACTCTTTTTAAGGCGCCACAAGACGGTTCTTCTGGCTACAACGGACTTTGTACGGCGTCGGCGACCCATCTGGAATCTGTCTTATAATTCTCTGCAAAGATCGTTTCAGAGGGTAGCCACGTTGACCTGCAGCAGAACAGAGTCCGAGTCCGGTGGCGCCTTTAAGACCAACAAAGTTTTATTCGAGGTACGAACTTTCATGTGCACGCACACTTCCTCAGATACAGTGAAATGGAAATCACCAGTCCATACATATAGGCAGAGGATGAGCAGTAGATTAGCATGCAATGTAATGAAGATGTTTATCAGAATCAGGAATTCATTATGTTAAACAGTAACCACATAAACCAACTTGTTATTCCTGATTCTGATAAATATTTTCATTATGCTGTATGATAATTTACTGCTCAACCTCTGCCTACATGTATGGACTGGTAAGTTCCATTTCACTGTATCTGAGGAAGTGAGCATGCACGCAAAAGCTCGTGCCTTGAATAAAGCTTTGTTGGTCTTAAAGGTGCCACTAGACTTGAACTTTGTTCCAATGCTTCAGACCAACATGGCTGCTCACCTGGATCTATCTGCAGTAGAACAGTTAGCTCATCTCTGTTTCCAAGCTGAAGAGCCAGTGCTGTCCGAAGACGTTTCCTATTTACCTACTTGCAATTTGTTGCTTTCGAAGTGCTAGGTTGGGAGGAGCTGGGGCCAGAGACGGGTGCTCAATCTGTCACATGGCACTAGGGTCTCAAACTGCCGAACTACAGACCTTCCAGTCTGCAGCTCAGCATCTTAACCTCTGAGCCACCGTGGCCCCTTAAGGTACTACTGGACTTAAATCTAACGATGGTTTTAAAAAAATAAGTTTGGGGAATACATTCTACAGACAGTGAGGGAACGACAGAAAGTGAGGGGAGAGATTAGCTTGCAAGTGGCCCAGATCTGCTCCTGGGACTGGAAATTGCAAAGCTTCTGACTGTCAACACAAATACAAAAGTCCGTGATGGGAGAGTCTCTGCCTGAAGGTGCCCCGGATGACAAGATTCTACATTCAAAAACTAAAGCCTGTACACAGGCCAGCCTCCCTTCTCTCAGCACCGAAGCAATCATGGAGTCTGAGAAAAAGCATACCGAACGGATTAACGAATTCTCGAAGCGAAACACTGAAATCTGCAGATCCCAGAATTTTCTCCCTCCGAAGAGCACAGGCCTCCCAGCCCCACCCAGTTCCCCAAGCTGCCTGAAAAGATTTAGGAGGGGAACGGTCTCTGGAAGGAAGTATATATAGAAATAAACAGAGTTCATTTCCCCATAAATGCGTTTAGGATTGCAAAGGCCGCATGAACCCCTTTTGCAAACTCAAGCAAATGTGAATTCAACTGGCAAGGTGCTCCTACTTTGCATAATTTATGCACTACCTGTTGTAAAGGTGAAGCAAGGCACTGGTGCCCTTCCTTAGTACCACCCTGTCAGCTTCAAAGCAGCACTCACGCACTATTAAATCATCACAAATGATGAGGACTAGAAACTCGCTTTTCAAAACAAAAAAAGCTGCTGGTTTCTGCAAGATCCGCACAAGGAACAAAAAATCCAGTGCCTCGGAGTTATCAAAAGTGGGGGGGGAAGAAAAGAAAAGCACGCGAGAACGCCGTCAGTTGACTCACCTAGCCGAAGCTCCCCAAAGTTGCCGCAGCCGATCTTCTTCCCGACCCGGAAGTTGGGGCCCACCATTAAGACTCCGGAGTTGGTCCCTGCCGTTCGGCTCCCGTGAGTGCTCCGGCCTCCACCTGTTTTAGACATCCTTTTGCTTTCCTCGCTCTCCCCTTTCCCTCCTCTCTTATCAAAATCCATAAGTTTGTGATACCCCGGCCTCTCCACGATTACGTCGATTCCATACAAATCCCAACACAGCCGAAACTTGAGGTGGGGTTGCGGGTCAGGGGGAGGGGAGGGAGATGGAGGGGGAAGGAGAGGAGCCAATCAGAAGCTGGCGTCTTCTGGGTTAGTAAACCATCACGGGTGGCAGTGGAGGAGGAGGAAGAGGAGGGGAGGGCGTCAGGGGGCGACGCTCCACCCGCATGCGCCGTGCTAGTGGGACGTCAGTCCTCTCGCCAGTCCCGCCGGGACTCCGGCCGGCACCTCCAACGGGGCACTCTTTGGAGAAGACGACGACATGGCGGAAGAGGGGTGGAATCGGCCGACGGCAATCCGTCACTCCTGAGCTGGTAGGGAAAAAAGGAAAGAACAGCTCAGGTTAAAGAAAAACACATAAAGCTTATTCTCTTTTTTTAAAGGACCTGATGAAACAATGGGATGATGATGAGGAGGAGATTAGATTTATACCCTGCCCTTCACTACCCAAAGAAGTCTCAGAGCAGCTTACAATCTCCTTTTCCTTCCCCTACCCACAACAGACACCCTGTGAGGTAGGTGGGGCTGAGAGAGCTCTGAGAGGACTGCTCCTGAGAGAACAGCTCTGAGAGAACTTGTGACTGACCCAAGGTCACACCAGTAGCTGTAAGTGGAGGAGTGGGGAATCAAACCCGGTTCTCCCGGATTAGAGTCTGCACTTCTAACCACTACACCAAACTGGCTCTTCAGGAACAGAGGACTCTACTCACCTGAAGTAATATTGGTGTATTACCAACCAATATTACCAACCAATACCACCAAAAGTGGACTTTTGAATTTGCACTCTGCATTTGAATTCTTTGTTCTGTGACTCATGCACCTGGATCTTTCCCGATTTGCACCATTTATTTATGTGAATTTCAAGATGTTATTGAAATTGTTTTGTTTGCCTGTTATTGCTGATTTATGTAACTCAGTTGTGAGTATTATATTTAGTGTCTTTGAGTATTTTGGGACGTTTAGTAAGTTCTGCCTCGCCAGCCCTTTGCTCTATGCTCCTGCCTCCAGAGGGGAGGTGGGCGGCAACCAGAGACTTGGCCTTTTCAGTGGTAGCACCTTGCTTCTAGAATGCTGCTCACCTCTGATACCTGTCTTACTCTCATGTAGGGTCGCCAGGTCCCTACCTGTTGCCAGCTGGGGGATGGAGCTTCCTTCCTGGGATCTTCTGGTGTGTGCACCAACGTGCTCGGTGCGATGACGTCACCCGGAAGTGATGCCATTGCACTAGGCACATCACCGGGGGCACTCTAGCATTTGGTCAGAAACTCTAAACTCATTAGCATAATAGGCCATACCCAACATCAGGAACTCATTAGCATATTAGGCCACACCCCTGACAGCACACCTTATTCACATATTAGGCCACACCCCCATGTTACCAGAAGTGTGGTCATCCAACCACACCCACCTTTTGCTTCTTATTCTCTTAACCTTGTTGTCAAAACCCAGGGCTTTTTTTTGGAGCAGGAACTCCTTTGCATGTTAGGCCACACCCCCTAATTGTAGCCAATCCTAATGAGTTTCTGCTGTTGGGTGTGGCCTATTATGTTAATGAGTTCCAGCTGGGCGTGCCCAATTTGGGAGCCAGCCGGAACTCCGTTCCTGTGCGTTCCTGCCCCAAAATAGCCCTGGTTTTAGCACTAGCACTTTGTAATGTTTTATACCTGTATTGTTATGATTTTATTTAGTTTTGTTTTATCTGTGCAGTGTCTGTGTAAGCCGCCCTGGGCCTGCTACGGGGGGAAGGGCAGGGTAGAAATTTAATAAATAATAATAATAACTCCGCTTAGAGGGAACACCGGGCAGCTTCCAGTCCCCTTCCTGGTGAAACATCTTTCAAAACATCTTTCAAAACATCTTTCAAAAGAGTTACATGCCCAATGGACTTCGCGCAGGGTAAAAATAATTCCCACGCCTTTGTTAAAATCTAGCAATTTCCTTTCCAAATGTGGGGGAGAGGAAAGAGAGAGAGAGAGAGAGAGATTTAAATTGGAAAGGAGGTATTTAAAAATAAAAGACTGTAGACTAGGAGCTTATTTCCGGTAATGTGCTCCCAGCGTGCCACGACGAAGCAAACGGAAGAAGCCGCTCCATTTGGGAGGAGAAAAGAGGGATAAAAATATTTCACGAAAGTAGAAGAAGCACTGCTGAACTGATGATGCTGGAGGGGAGCCCAGGGCGCTAGACTGGAGGTTACGAAGAGAACATAAAGATCAGGATCATTCCCGATCTATCTTCCAGCATGGAACGAAGCGCATGAAGAGGCGATTCGGTCTATCCAGGCTAGGCCTCCTCTGACTGGCAGTGGCGCTCCCAGGGTGCATTCAGACGGGGCGTTTCAGCCGGCATAAACTGCACCGGTTCCAACCGTTGCAGTTTATGCCGGCTGAAACGCGATCACACTTACCTCCTGTCTGCGGAGCCCATCGCTGCATGCCCGTTCACACACAGTGGGCGTCGGCGATTTTTCTTTTTTTTAACTCAGTTTGAGCATGCGCATAGGCAGCCATCCACAGAATGGCAATCTTCGTGCATGCGCAAAACACCCCGTCCCGAAAAGCATGCCCTGAAGAGAGGACTTACCTTTAAAGTTTAAAGAGTAAACTGGCCTCCCTGAGGTCCCGGACGCCTCTAAAACGTTAAACTAAGGACCTTTTCTTTTTTAAAAAAACAAACGCCGGGGCGAAGCTTCGTCCAAGCGCATATCACCAACCTAAAAAAAAATGGCGGGCGAAAATCGGAAGCCTCGGGCTTCCGAACGGAAGTGGCTCTACAACGGGGGGTGGGGGGAAGCAATTACAACCGTTGCACACAGGATACCACCACTTGGGGACCTAGTGGCAGAATACAACGGTTTAAGGCTCTTTGCAACGGTTAGGGACGGAAGGCAGATGTTCGCCGTGTGAACACCAGTAAGTACACCGATTCCAACCGGCACCTATACCGTTGCAAATGCCTCGTCTGAACGCACCCCCAGAGATCTTTCACATCACCTTCTACCAGAACCCTCTTTGACTCCCAGTACCGCCCAGCAGGGCTTTTTTTGTAGAAAACCCCCAGCATGAACTTATTAGCATAATAGGCCGGCCCTTGGACAGGGCAGGGAGGCATTTAAATGTCTCCCCGATCCTCCCCGATCCTTCCAGGGGGCCCCCTGGCCCGCCCACCTCGGAGTCGTTGGGGGTGGGGTCGCTCTCCAGGCCTTCCCTCTGTAGCCAGGCACACAGAGATTTTGGCTGTAGTGGGCGTGGCCAACTCTGAAGCCAGCTGGAACTCCGTTCCTGTGCGTTGCTAGCCCAAAAATAGCCCTGCACACCAGTATATCCCTCATTAGATCTCCCGGTATACCCCTCATTAGAACTAATCACCACACTGTTCCGCAGACAGACCCTCGAAATGGAAGTCGTGGAACACCCCATTCAGATAGGGTTGCCAACCTCCAGGTGGAGCCTGGAGAGCTCCCGGAATTACAACTCGTCTTTTGGATGGCAGAGGCCGGTCCCTCTGGCTGCAGCAGACCATGTATGACCACCCAACTGGAGGCTGTCTGTCACTGCTGGTCCCCCCAATGAGGATTGGGGCTTCAGGAGCCAGTTTGGTGTAGTGGTTAAGTGCGCGGACTCTAATCTGGGAGAACTGGGTTTGATTCCCCACTCCTCCACTTGCACCTGGCTGGATGACCTTGGGCAAGCCATAGTTCTGACAAGAGCTGTCCTTGAAAAAGAGCAGTTTCTTTCAGAACTCTCTCAGCCCCACCTACCTCACAGGGTGTCTATTGTGGGGAGGGGAACGGAAAGGAGTTTGTAAGCCGCTCTGAGACTCCTTTGGGTAGTGAAGGGCGGGTTCAGGGCTATTTTTGGGCAGGAACACACAGGAACGGAGTTCTGGCTGGCTCCCAAGTTGGCCACGCCCAGCAGGAACTCATTAGCATAATAGGCCACACCCAACTGCAGAAACTCATTCGGATTGGCTACAATTAGGGGTGTGAGGCCTAACATGCAAAAAGCCCTGGGTTTTGAGAACAAACAAGGTAAAGAGAATAAGAAGCAAAAGGTGGGTGTGGCTGGATGACCACACTTCTGGTAACATTGGGGTGTGGCCTAATATGCGAATAGGCTGTGCTGTCAGGGGTGTGGCTTAATATGCTAATGAGTTCCTGCTGTTGGGTATGGCCTATTATGCTAATGAGTTCCTGCTGGGCTTTTTCTACAAAAAAAGCCCTGGGCAGGGTGTAAATCCAATCTCTTCTTCTCTTCTTCTTCTTCAGCACCACCGGCTCTCCACCCCACCCCACCCGGACCACCTTTACGTACCCTGCCCATGCACAGTTCACTTATTTATTTGGTTCCATTTCTATCCTGCCCTTCCTGTAAGCGGGCTCAAGGCAGGTTGCAACATTAATATAAAACAATAAAATCAAGATTAAAGCTATAGACGTAACCCTTAAACTATGGTGATCAAACTACATCACAACTATTACAACGGTGCCCTGGTGTTAGACAATTAAAGGCAGAAAGGGCTAGATCGCTTAAGGGATTCCAGACAATCAGTACTCTACCTTGGGTAAACCAAGGTGGTTGTCATTCTGTTACTCAAGAATTGAAGACCATGGTGCAGAAGAGGAAGAGAAGAAGAGGAGGTTGGACTTATACCCTGCGCTTCACTCGGAGTCTCAGAGAGGCTTACAATCACCTTCCCTTCCTCTCCCCACAACAGACACCCTGTGGGGTAGGTGGGGCTGCGAGAGCTCTTTCGAGAACTGCTCTGGAGAGAACAGCGCTGGGAGAACTGTGGCTTGCCCAAGGTCACCCAGCAGCTGCATGTGGAGGAGTGAGGAATCAAACCCGGTTCTCCCACATTAGAGTCCGCGCTCCTAATCACCACACCAAACTGGCTCTCAGATGGTAACAGAGAGGTAACAGGATGGTAACAGGAGGGGCCAGACGATATTTGACGCCCGCTGCCTCACCCAAAAGCCAGTTCAGGATGCGGGTCCCGACCGAGAGCCGATTCATACAACGGTGGCAACAGAGATTCGGCTCCTCTCAAATTTTAGCTAAAATCCTCTAATTCTCTACAAAGTTCCAGAGTGCAGCCGTGTCGGTCTGCATTAGAAGAGCTAGATTCCAGTCCAGTAGCTCCTCAGAGGGGTCAGCAAGATTTTCGGGGAGAAGGTTTCAAGAGTCGAAACTCCCTTCATCAAATGCTTATACCCCCAAAAATCGTTTTGGTCGCGAAGATGCTATTGGACTCGAACCCACATGGACAAAATGGCAGCTCGACAGAGTCGATTCTATGACCTTAAATCCCA